TTTGCTTTTTAATTCATTAATTTATATCAATGAAGTTTCATACGATTATATGTGGCCAATGTGAATAAATATCGGGGGAAAATGTACGTAAAATGAGGGAGGGGGGGATAGTGATCGGAACTGCTTGATTTATAAATGCGGATGAAGAATTAAAAATAAAATGTTACGTGATCATGCGGAAAATAAAAAGTCGAGGATCGAACCCGGGACATCACTATCATGGAACCAGTACGTGTGCAGTAGGGCTCCGGACTCCGCTGAAACCTTCAGGCCGATAAAGCGGTACTAGAGGCTGCTTCAGTGTTGCCACGCGCCGCACGACCAAATCACACGCCGAAAACGCAACTTTTGGGAATTTTTTACGCCCTTCCTATTGCGCATTCGGGAAAACGGCTCAAATTGACCTCTAGAATTGGTCCATAGAGTCTGTAAAAATAAATTCAGCCCAATCGGAGGCGGCAGGTCCGTAAGTTCCCCTTGTCAGCACCACGGGCGCACCGCACAGACCTCGCGTGAGGGACACATTGTCCCCAAAGTCCAAAACCGTAAGGTGTCATCAGGTTTTTTACTACGACATTCACAAGGGCTCAGGTGAGGTCTGCCGGAGCCCATAGCTCAGGTGTTTCGGGAGGAGAGGGCGCGAAGGCCGGAGGGGGGGGGGAGCCGAAGGAAGAAGGAATCTAGGAAAGAGAGGGGGCCAGGCCGGGGGGTCGGGGCACCGGCGAGTGACCGCGAGAGTGGCGCGGCCCGACGGCGAAGCGCGGAACCACCCGGCTCCGCGAGGCTCCGAGTAGGACAAAGATAATTGTGAGTAGAATAACTCGAAGTAGTGTACTGGTTTTACCTGTTCTGGAGGGAGTCGGCCCTACTCCCGTGCTGAATCAGCGTATGTGCGTAGGGGTAACTCCGGGGGATACGCGCTTTTTGCAAAGCGCGCTGGAATAGTGGGGAGACACTCGGCGGCTCTACCTGTATCTACCTGGCCGCGGTTCCCTCCGCCCCGCGCCTCGCCCCCCGCCCCTCCCCACCCGCCCTCCCGGGCAGCCGACCGGCACCATAGTTCCAGAGCCGCTGCTAGTCCCACGGCCGCGACTGGAACTCAGTCGCAAGTTCGATAACGCCGCGACAGCTCCACGCTCCGTGCCCCCCGAGTTTTTGCGCTGTCGGTGATATCAGTCGGCGTCGCCACACCCGGAGGTGTTTTGTTTTGGTGTCGCGCTCTCCGCCGAATCCTGCCTGTTGATCGCGCACCCGCAACGTGTCTTGGCCGTCACGAATTTCCACCTCCACCGACGGTCGTCGTCCATGGTTCCTTTGAAAGTCTGGCACGTGCTCCCCCTTCTCGTTTGGTGCGTCCTCGTCGTCGTCAAAATCCAGGATGAGTTCCAGCTCAGGTGACCTGTCGTGAACTTTGGATTTTAACACAGTGTTCCGCAAAGTACCCCCGCTACTTTAGTGTTCAGTGTTAGTGTTTCGTTGGCTCGCTGAGAAGCGCATCCTTTGGATTATTACGTGCGTGTACCGCCATCGGGTTTTTGGTTTTTTCGATAAGTTGTATATCTCGACCCAAGTTCTTACTCTAACAGTCCGGTGATTATTTCTTCGATTGATCTACGTCCGTTCCCGATGTTGGTGAGTGTCGTTGTTTACTTTTTATTTCCTTCGACCGGTCTCCACCTGATACCCGGCGAAAAGAGGTCGCAGGCTTGTTTACTTTCGTTGTTTACCAACGTTTTCGATTGTTTACGGAAGGTCGGTCGCTTTTGCGGAGCGAGCGAGCGTTTTCTGCACCGTCTGGCAATGGTGCCCGTGTGGCGATTAGAAATTGGCGTAGAATTTACGCGGGATTACGTAAAATTGTGCTAAGACAGTATCCTGCAAGTAAACAATACGCCATGCTCCGTAATCTTGGTTACACCTGGGCAAATTCTGGGAATTTCCGACCTTGATGTCGGCGGCGTTTTCAGGCGTGCCCCGCCGAGGGACCCGATACGTGAGCGTGATTCACCGATCTGACGTATGACGAAGAGAGCAATCAACTCGAGAAATTGAGTTTTTTAAGGATATGGACGTATATCACTGTTCGAGAGGAAAATTTCACCCAGAAATGCCTTTATTTTTCCTAAAATGTGTCATCAATTACTCTGAAGACGCAATGAAATCTTGTGGGTGCTTAAAAATTGACGAAGTTTACCCCTCATTGTAAGTTAACGGGCTTTTTATTGCATCTTAGGGAAGACAATCATGTAAGTCATCAGACTTATCTTCTGAGTGCTGTTACTATCTCAACAGCAAAATAACTTTGAAAATTAGAATTGAGCCAGCAAATGTTTGAAAATGGTGCAATTAGCACAAGGAAGAATATACTGCACTGCTCTTTCACGAGATCGAGATGTGGACTTGGACTTACTGCTGTTTTTTTCTTTCCAGAAATGATTTCATAATTTTGTACACATACTGCTGTCTTATAACTCTCGATTGTTTTCCCAAATGATGTGAATTTAGCCTTTCAAAATTACAGGGTTTTCCAGGCTCAAACTGCCACTTTGCTGGAGCGTGTTGTATGGGTCATGGATCTTCTAGCTCTCAAAACTTGGATTCATCCCCTTTTAGCTCCCGAAAATCCCTATCTAGCCGGAGATTACGATTCCTGTGTCGAGCCATAGATTAATTCAGCGCTTGAAACTGTGGAGAATAGCCATTAATCATGAATTTCAGCTGTCGTAAATATGCAGAGAAACTGATTTTCCTCAAAGTCGGGACATGCTCACCTCTGACAGAGTGCTTTTTCGGGAGAAAAAACTTCATGCAGACAAGTCTTATTTCGACCCATATATCAGGCTTCAACAGTGGGGTGGTTTAATACTGAGATATCCTGCACAGGGTAATTTAAGTCCCGCAATACTAGCACCAGACATCACCCTTGTAACTTTGAGAAAGTTTGCAAATTGAGATAGAGACTTGAAATTTTGTGAGTGCTCCCACCTAAGTAAAAGGAATGCAACCCTTGAGAACCACCAAAATCTTAAAGGGACTACCCTGAAATGGCAAGAGCCGCAGCCCAGGGGTTATAGGAGTGGTGCGGGACTTTTGAATCACTCTGTACATCAGTCAAATTTCGAAAAAAACAGGATTATGAAAATTCGGCGGTTACCGCTATCTCCGAAAGCACGTCAGCGGTGTTGTCACCGGGCCCCGTCACGCAGATCCGCCGACGAAACAGTATTAATTTGCGTATCGCATGCACGCGGCGATGAGTATTGGCTCATACCCTGGACGCGCACGCCACGCGGCGGCGGTGAAGTAAGATGGGCGATGGGCCCGATGGGGTGGCCAGGCAGGCATGGAGGGCGAGCGATACAGTTGGTACACCTGAGGAATCGGGATCGGGATGGAGATCCCTTCCACCTTGGTTCCTTTGACAATGCCACGGGGCGAGGGGCGCGCGGGGGAGCAGGGGATCTCGCGGCGAGGCGGCACGTATCTGCCCTTCTTACGAAATCCGCAGCGCTGCCGTGTTTCCCCGGCCTCAGCCCCGGAGTCCTCGTGGCCGCCCCGGCCCGGGCCGCCGCCTCCGTTATTAGAAACTAGAAAGTGAGCTCTCATGCCCAACCTCCAGGGTTGCCGTTTACGTGGATTTTTTACAATTTATCGAAGGTCAGTGGGCCTTGGATCCTCCAGGGCTCAAAACTTGAATTTTTTCCCTTTTTGGCGCTCTGAAACTCCTCACTGGAAAGAAAAACACATTGGATCTAGGGTCCAGACCCTTGAAAACATTGGCAAGAAAAAGTACTCTTGATTCAATCGGAGTTTTGCTTGAATCACAACGAAATCCGCTTGAATTAAGAGGCTTGGTTCTTGATTTAAGCTAGATTCTGATTGAAACTAGAAAGTGAGCTCTCATGTCCAACCTCCAGGGTTGCCGTTTGCGTTGATTTTTTCCGATTTATCGAAGGTCGATGGGCATTGGATCCTCCAGGGCTCAAAACTTGGATTCTTCCCTTTTTGGCGTCCTGAAATTCCTCACTGGGGAAAAAAAAAACACATTGGATCTGGAGTCCAAACCCTTGAAAACATTGGCAAGAAAAAATACTCATGATTCAATCGGATTTTTGCTTGAATCAAAAGGAAATTCGGTTAAATTGAGAGGCTTGGCTCTCGATTCAAGCATAAATCCGATTGAATCAAGAGGTTTTTCTTGTAAAATTGTCCAAGACTAGACTTTAGATCCAAGCGACTTTTTTCCAGAGTGAATGAAGTAAGCGCTAAAAACTATGAAGGGCCAATTACCGAATAATGTAGCTTTAATTCAGCGAAAAATGTACAGGAGGATCAAATTGCCTCGTTGCAAGCACAAGGATCCTTGTCATTATCTTGAACCATTTGACAGAGAACAACTTGAAAATACTCCCGAAAGTACGTCCCAGGTGAATATTGCAAATCTTTTTTGTTTAGATTGGCGGTATTTACTTGGGAAGTGCTTATGAAGTTATTTCATCACTTTTCTCGGTCAAATCTTATGCACAACTCCTTGGTAGACTACGAAGTGATGTGATGTTAGAGAGTTTTTGGAAAAAAAATGTCCTACAATCTAAAATTATCATGTCATTGATAACCATAAAGTCTTTATCCATTGGCTGTTCAACTGTCCAACATTCTGAGAGCCATCAGGTGTTGCTAAGATTTTTGATATTCCTCACAGCAGCAGAACTTTAACACCCCCTCTCTTAAAAATCTCAAATTCGTCATAATGTTAGAGTCAGAATATTTACTCATAGGCAATTAGAGAACTACGTGGGACAGAACTGCAACACAGTTTAGAAGAAATTGTCGCAATAAACTTTGTGCTGTTTTTGTGCACGAGCTTCCGGGAAAACAGACAATGCGGCAATGATTGGCCACGAGACAATTCGATTCCTACTCCGCCATTTGGGGACTTTTTTCCCACGATTCTTCGCCGTAGCATGAGCTACCAGGCTACCTACACTCGAATTCGCCTGGTGTGTTAAAGTTGGATATCATACGTCGCTTAGTACCTAAACGCCTTGCCATAACTGTATCGTATTCTAGATTTACTCTGATTTTTCCTGTCAAAATATTCCATTGAAAGAAAACCAAGGAAGAACCTTCATATTCTCAAAATGGCTTCGACTCGCCAACGGAAACCCTTGATGATAAGAAAAAGCATTCTGATGATTAAGTTTTTGTAATATCAGATAATTTGTGAAAGATGCGAAAACTGATTTAGAGTTACATCATTCGTCCTGGTAGTCTTTAATGCAAGGTTTGAAATTCAGCTTTACCTTTCAATGCCAAGCCAAATCTATCATTGGCGCAGAAATTTTCGTATGAATCATACATGGAATTTGTGTATACGATCGAGTACTCGCGCAATAATTTAGGTACAATTTTTTTTCACTTGGAGCGGTTCGATTCCATTGTTCGTCCACTTCCCGGCTCCAGTCGATAGGAAAGCAAATAGAAGTAGACACCTGTCTCAGGTGTGACGGATGTACCCTATTGTCACAGTTAGGTAGTTGAATGGGGGACTTATCCGCGGGGCACATCGTTAATTTTTGTCGAGAGTAAGGCAGGTTAGGGTGGTTATGGAGCGTTTTTTGTACGTTGAGTCCCTACTGGATCAGCATTTGAGCGCAAGGTTGTTCATTCGAAAGAAACCTCTTTATGACGCAAGCATCATTTGCTATAATGAAGGGTTTTCTCTTCAAATTTTAAGTCCACTCCGGAAATTGACAAATCCACTTCGAGGTTGCTTAGAATGCGTAATTTTTGGCGTATCTTTTTGTTAATTAAAAGCGTTTACGTTCACAATTTTTCTCTACTACACTTTTTCTGTTCTCACATTTTCCTGTATATTTTGCACAAAGTTGAAAGCATTTTTACTCGAATGAAAAAACGATGAGATTGCGCAAACCTAGCAACGATAGACAGACCTGTGTCCTTTCAAGTCTGCCATTTATTTTTTATCGAAGTAATAATGAGGCGTTTTGACTAGACATCAGGCATGTGTCATGACTATTTGATCGACATTTTTCCGGGCTAGGAAAACTAGCAACAAATGTGACCTCGGCAAGTGATTTGAAAGAACATCATTCCTTTCCTCAGATCTCAGTGTCACCGCCGATAATCCTTTCAAGGAGAAATCCATTCTTGATCGGTCATTTTGCCTTTCAAATCGTTAAACCAACTTCAAAAAAAGATCAATTATGCATTTCACTATCCGGAAACGATCTGAGGTAACTATAGTATGATTCGAATTATATTTTTTCGACGAAGAATGACTGAAACCCCGCCACTCGTGTCGCAGAAAATTAAAAGGAAAAGGGAATAAATCCACAACCAAATGATTTTTTTTTTTTTCATCTCATTCGCTGCTACATAGTTAATTTCGTAATGGACAGGCATGTTAACCATGAAAAATGCAAGTTCTCGAGTGCCGCTTACTTCATATCTGAGCGTTAATCACCCAACCTTCCCGTCAGTGACCGCTCAAAAATTTTACTTTTAGAAAGGGAAAGGACAAAAAAAACTTAACGGTTCGGACAACTTTTATCCTTTTTATTTTTAATATCGTGCGACTATTTCCTCGTGAAGCTGCCGGTGATTAGGAT